GCTGTTGCTGTTGCTGCTGCTGCTGCTGCTGCTGCAGAGGGGATGAGTGGTCAAGGATTAAGCCTTCCTCCTTCTAATGCCTCATTAAGAGAAGAAGAGGCAGCAGAATTACAAGGAGGAGATATGGCATTAAAGATACAACTTGCTAATGATACAAAACAACTCAGTGTAAGGAATTGTGCTGCTGCTGCTGCTGCTGCTGATGCTGCTGTTGCTGTTGCTGCTGTTTGTTGCGGTGCTGGTGCTGCTCTTGCTGCTGTTGTTATATTTCTTTTGTTTGTATTTTACTGTGCAGCAACATATACAACATAATCTATCATCTGTTGCCCCTCTTGTTGCTGTTGCTGTTGCTGTTGCTGCTGTTGCTGCTGCTGTTGCTGCTGCTGCTGCTGCTGCTGCAGGTGAAGTGCAGCAGCGAGGTTGGCTACGTAAAGTTATTATTAGCCCAACAATTAGGATTGGAGCCCCGTCGTCTTCGGCTGTACGCGAAGGGGCCAACAGGAGAAAAGTTGCTGCTTATAGATCCTATGTCTTTATGTGATTATAAGGAACTTGCTGCTCCTGCTGCTACTGTATATGCAGAGATTGATGAATAAATACACCACCAATTATTATTTACTTCTCTCCTCCTGCTGCTGCTGCTCTTATACTCCTTATTAAATGGTTATACTGCTGCTGTAGCAGTTATACTCGTTATTTCCTGCTGCTGCTGCTGCTGCTCTCTTGCTGCTGCTGTATTATATATACACAGTGGTGCTGAGCTCCATTCCCTCGTACAATGGGGGGCCCCTCCCCCTACTCGTAAGGTATCAAGGGGGCCCCCCATAAATTGGCGGAGGGGAGGGGGGCCAGTGAACTACATGGTGCCCCTATGGGGGGGCCCTTAAGAGGGTCGTGAATTATGGGGATAAGAGGTGGGGGCCCCTCATCAAAAGGAGGGGCCCCTCATGAAGAAGAGGGGCCCCTCATGAAGAGGAGGGGCCCCTCTAAGGGTCCAGCAGGACATAAATTATATTGTTTTGTATTTGCTGCGGGGAACCGGTAAGGGTTGGGGCCCCCCCCTTGCAGCAGCAGCAACAGCAGCAGCACCACAGTGGTGCGACGTGCGCCATAAGCAGCAGCAACAATTACAGCAGAGAGCAGCAGCTGCTGCTGCAGCAACAGCAGCAGCTGCAGCAGCAGCAACATTATATATATGCATATGCCCGCACAGCGGGAGTTTCTTTTATTGTTCAATCAGGGGTCTTTGCTGCTCTGCTGCTGCAGTAGCAGCAGCAGCAGCAGCAACTGCAGCAGCAGCTGCTGCTGCTGTTTCTACTGCAGCAGGCCCTGCAACACCTGCAGCACAGGGAGAGACTCTTTATTCCTTTGAGCCTCATCATTGACAGCGTACTTGTTTGCTGCTGCTTCTGCTGCAGCTGCTGCTGCAGCTGCTGCTAGAGAGAGGGAGACAGCAGAGCTGCCTGTACACCGCAAATAGGTGACTAGCACAGCAAAATAGGGAAGGCAGGCATTAGGAGCGGCAGTGTCGTGGCTAGCTAGACAGTGACGTTAGCTGGATAGATAGACAGCTATACCTAGGCAGCTAGCTAGCTAGCTAGCTAGCTTGTTGGCTAGCTTGCTGGCTAGCTAGCTAGCTAGTTAGCAACAGGAGGCGCCAGTTAATCGGTAGATGAGCATCGAGACAGCCAAACGGCGAGTCGAGTTGTCGGGCAAATTCACAGAACAATTCGCTAGCTAGCTAGCTAGCTAGCTAGCTGGATACGTAAGCTAGCTAGCTAGTTAGCTAGCTAGCTAGTAAGTATATATACATATGTAGCTAGCTGGATATACAGCTAGTTCGCTGGGTCACAAGACAATTAACAAGCTGAATAGCTAGCTAGCTAGCTAGCTAGATATATGGCTAGCTAGCCAGCTTGCTAGCTAGCTGGACACTCGGTAGGGTATGACGGGGCTTGGGGGTGCAGCGCGCATGCAGAGACTTCTTTGAATATCTTATTTGCTGCTGTCCCTCCCCTCTCCCTGTCTCCCCCATAACACACACATGCATCAGCTGCTGCAGCAGCAGCAGCAGGACGTGCTGCAGCAGCAATAGCAAGAGCAGCAGCAGCTTTTGCTGCTGCTGCTGTTGCTGCTATTATTATTATTATTATTATTATTATTATTATTATTATTATTATTATTATTATTAATTATTATTATTAATTATTATTATTATTGCTGCAGCAGCAGCAGTTATAATTCGTGTGTCTCTGCTGCTGCTGCTAGATGTGCAGATATGTCTGGATGCTGCATCATTTGTTTCTCTGTGTCTCCTTTATATATACCAAGAGAAGGAGACAGGGAGGAAGCAATAGATGCTGCTGTTGCTGCAGGTTGGCCTCCTCCTGCTGCTGCTGTTTCTGCTGCTGCTGCGGCTGCGGCTGCAGCAGCAGCTGCTGCCGCTGCTGCAGCAGCAGCAGCAGCAGCATTAGGACCACTCCTTGCCGCAGATCTAGAGCTTGTCCTTGGTCCCCCTCCTCCTCTTGGTCTTCCTCTTGGTCTTCCCCTGTTGCTGCTTCTTCTTGATGCAGCAGTACCATATCCTGCTGCTGCAGCATTCCCTGCTGCTGCTCCTCCTGCTGCCCCTGCTGTATTTCCTGCTGCAGTGCCATCAAGATTTGCTGCTGCAGCATTAAGTGCTGCTGCTGCATTACAATTATTGCCTGCTGCAGCAATATTTGTATGCATTGCACCACCAGCAGCAGCACCACCACCAGCAGCACCAGCAGCAGCAGCAGCAGATTGAGGAGGAGACAGTACAGTATTAACAAAAGCTTCATCAAAATCATCATAAGGATTATTTGTTTTCTCTGATGTCTCCTCTTCTCCTTCCTCTGCTGTCCCTATAACTGTCTCTAAATTACGTATACCCCCTCGACCTCCACGTACACCCCGAGGGACACGACAAGAACGTAATGCTTGACGAGCGCGCAGCAGCTCAGGAGCATTTCCCTGCAGCAGCAACAGCAGCAACAACAGCAGCAGCAGCAGCAACAGCAGCAAATGCAGCAGCAACAAATAAAAGAGCAGCAAATCAAGGAAAAAGAGATACAGCATACAGAAAAAAAAGACAAGAAATACAGCCAGCAGCAGCAGCAGCACCACCGCCACCATCAGCAGCACTAATAGCAGAAGAAGAAGAAGCAGCAGCAGCAGCAGCAGCAGCAGCAGCAGCAGCAGCAGGTCTTACAGTTGCTGCTGCCCAAGCCTGCTCCGTTGCAGCAATAATTTCTTTAGATCTTTCTTCTACATGTCGTAAACTTCGAGAAGCAATTCGAAAAAAATTACGACTGTCTCCGCAACTAAATTTTAACTAAAAAAAAAAAAAAGGAGACAAAAAAGGAGACAAAAAAGGAGACAGTAAGGAGACAATAAGGAGACAGAAAGCAGACAAGAGGAAGATAATTACGACTGTCTCCGCAACTAAATTTTAACTAAAAAAAAAAAAAGAGACAAAAAAGGAGACAAAAAGGAGACAAAAAGGAGACAGTAAGGAGACAGGAGGAGGGAGACAGTAAGGAGACAGTTAGGATATATATACACAATTCGAAAATAATTACGACTGTCTCCGCAACTAAATTTTAACTCAAAAAAAAAGAGGAGACAAAAAAGGAGACAATAAAGTAGACAAAAAAGGAGACAGTAAGGAGACAAAAAGGAGACAGTAAGCAGACAAGAGAAAGATAATTACGGCTGTCTCCGCAACTAAATTTTAACTAAAAAAAAAAGACAAAAAAGGAGACAAAAAAGGAGACAGTAAGGAGACAATAAGGAGACAGTAAGGAGACAAGAGGGAGATAATTACGACTGTCTCCGCAACTAAATTTTAGCTAAAAAAAAAGGAGACAAAGAAGGAGACAATAAGAAGACAGGAAGGCAATTGACTGTCTCCGCGAGAGAAAGGAGGAGACAGGAAAGGAGACAGGAGACAGGAGACAGGAAAGGAGACAGAAGTATAGTGTTGTGTGTAAGTTGTGGTGTATAGATAGGGATAAAGGAGAGAAAAAAGGGAGAAGAAAAGGAGAGAATAACTAACCGCTGCATGCACAAGAGCAAAGGCATTAACTCCTTGCTCATAGAGACACCATAAAAGGAGACGATCTTCTTCCTCAGTAAATATACTAGAAGGAGACAATCCTGCTGGTAGTCGTAAATCGCTAGGAGAGGAGACAGTACCCGTTAATAATTGTTCCTCTACCTAAGAAAAAAAAAGAGAGACAGTAGCAGCAGCAGCAGCAACAGCAGCAGCAATAAGGAGGAGACAATATAATAGGGGAGGGAGGTAGGAGGAAGGAGGAGACACAGGGACACAGAGGGAGACAGGAGGAGACGAAAAAGGAGACACTAGCTTACCGTTGCCTGTACAGCTCTGCGTTGTAGATCGATTGCCCCTCGTAATTCTTCTGCCCTCTCAATACGCTGCATCATCCTGTCTCCCTGCAGCAGCAGCAGCAGCAGCAGCAACAGCAGCAGAAGGTGCAGGACAACGTTGTGTGCATAAAAGGAGACACTTTATGCATAAAAAAGAATAAAAAAGAGACACGTAAATATAATAAAAAGGAGACACATAAATATATAATAAAAAGGAGACACATAAATAGAAAAGGAGACACTTATATATAACAAAAAGGAGAGACATAAATATAATAAAAAGGAGACAATAAATAAATAAAAAAGGAGAGACAAAGAAAACTTGTGCATATATTTACGTATATATACGAATATATATAACATAAAAAGAAGACACTTATACAGAAAAAAAGGAGAAAAATAAACAGAATAAAAAGGAGACACATAAAAAAAAAGGAGACACATAAAAGGAGACAATTATTCAAGGAGACACAAATAAATATACTAAAAAAGGAGACACTTATTCCTTTAATATTTGCATATCTCTTGAAGAAAAGTTGTGCATATATTTACGTATATATACGTATATATATATATATATATATATA